CTTCCCAACATCTTCATTTAGAATTCTTAAGGTTTCATGCCTTAGGTTTAAGTCTGTTATCCATCTTGAATTGATTTTTGTGAGAGGTGAGAGGTGGGGGTCCAGTTTCAATCTTTCGCATGTAGCTATCCAGTTTTCCCAGCACCATTTATTGAAAAGAGATTCTTTTCCCCAGTGTATGTTTTTGTCAGCTTTAGTCAAAGATTAGATTACCATATGCAGATGGTTTCATCTCTGGATTCTCAGTCACGTTCCAGAGGTCAATGTCTCTGTTCTTGTGCCAGTACCAAGCTGTTTTAGTTACTATAGCCTGGTAGTACAGCTTGAAGTCTGGCAGACTGATACCTCTCAGTTTGTTCTGAATAAACTTTTTAAGAAAGGAATTAAGTGCTTCAGTCTGGAACCTGTCACATCAACAGTTACCCAGTCCACAGCCTGCTGACCACTGACATTGCTGTGGGATAAAAGTACAGTAGACTCATATACTGGAATACTGGTCACACAAGGAGTCTCTCTGATTTTTGTTTTTTCTTTTTTGGAGTAATATCTAACTTGTGTGCACACATAATTAAAATCATTTACATTCCAGTGTAACCAGCAGTCCATAAATTATAAAAACTGATAGACATTCAAGAAACAACCATAAAAACCAGCTGGCTCATGGCGAAAGTTAAGCATACTTCATTATTTCACCACAAATACAATTTTCAAAATGTAACATGTGTTAAAAATCATACTTTAAAAGAATATTTAATGTAATAGAAAAATACTCAATTATATTAAATGAAAAAATCAGGTTCTGATAATCCAAAGACATAACTTACATGGAGCACATTTTGGATCACACCACATATTTTAAGGAGTTCTCTATCACAGAGGAAATCTATACACAAAATGCTATCAGTGGCTGACTATGCGTGGGAGAATTATTGATATTTTAAAATTTCTGTACACTTTTCTATACTTTTTATATATTCTACAATGAAAAAACATTACAAGTAAATCAAGAAAGAAAATCACTTACTCTGTTGGCTCTCCTTCATCAGGTAAGATATTTCTGGTACACTGAAGAAGGTAATTTCGAAGAAATAGACCCCTCAAGGGATGCTGCACACCACGGCACATTTCTACCAAATCTTTCAGAATATCTTTCCTGGACTGAGGAAATGACTTGACGTATACAACGCCAACTGTGATTAACAGATAACTAGGAGAATTATAGAAAACATTTGATTTCAGGAATTAAGAATTTGATTATTTCCAAACACACTGAATATAAACATATTAAATAAACAAGTTAGGAACTATGTTTTCTCCTGTACAATGAAGGAAATATTGTCTGATTTAAAATATAACCACTCCTTACATGTATATGTAAAATATAACCACTTACAAGTAACCATTTACAAATATATGTAAAATATAACCACTCCTTACATTATATGTAAGGACCAACTCCTTACATATCACCTTTAAATGTATCAGGAAGAGAATAATTGTCATATTAATTTTTCTAGTAGTTAAGACATTACACAAAATAGCATATCCATTTTTTCTATTGCTAAAATTCTGCAACTATATAAAAAGTAAATTTAATTACGATAAAACTTTAAATGACAGTGTATCTACCAAAATGTTAAGAAATTAAATACCCTTAAGAAAATTTTTTTAAAAAGGCTGCTAATTTTAAAGGACATAACATAAAGTGGGGACTGCAGACATAAAAGTCCTCAGATCATTAATTACTTACAGCCTTGGGATAATATTTCCAGCATACTGTACAAGTTCATAGAGATCTGCAACTTTTCTTCCTTTAGCAAACTCATCTGTCAGGTAGACCTCCAAGTAGTGTAGTTCATCAGAAATAGCCATATCTTTTAATAATGATTAAGGACTAAAAATAAACATAAGCCAACCTAAGTGAAACTCTGCAACTTGTTAGAGTCATTAAAACTACTGGGCAGATATCTTAAATCTTAGTCCTTTAAGAGGGAGCATTTAAATGAAGACAATTTCAGTTGGGCTTTCTTTACTTCAAAATAAATGTTTTAAGGGATATCTGGTGAAGCAAAGCAGTAAATACAGTGATTACCTGTCAGATTGCTAACAAATTTTGAAATGGCAAATGATTGAATTCTTTTCCATTTCAGAGTCCTGTATGACAAATTCTAAGCAATAAAGAACCCATCTGCTTCATGAAGGGTCTGAAAATTAAGATAGGCTGGGCGGGTGGCTCATACCTGTAATCCTAGCACCCTGGGAGGCCAAGGCGGGAGGATTGCTTGAGCTCAGGAGCTCGAGACCAGCCTGAGCAAGAACGAGACCCTCGTCTCTACTAAAAATAGAAAGAAATTAGCCAGGCAACTAAAAGTAGAAAGAATTAGCCAGGCACGGTGGTGTGTGTCTGTAGTCCTAGCTACTCAGGAGGCTGAGGCAGGAGGATCACTGGAGCCCAAGAGTTTGAGGTTGCTGTGAGCTAGGCTGACGCCACTGCACTCTAGCCTGGGCAACAGAGTGAGACCCTGTCTCAAGAAAAAAAGAAAAATGACGATATAACAACACATTTAAGCATAGATAAAGGGTATTCTGAAAGTTTTTTCTCATTTAACACATTGACATGGAAAAGGAATACCATTTGACTAAGACAATGAAGAATAATGTAACTCCAGAGAAATTTAATAAAGAAAAGAACAAAGTTGGCCTTATCAAGAAAAAAGTATGGTCCAAATGTTTATTCTTCAACATTCAAAAGATACAAAGTTCATAGTAGCTCTTTGGCGATAACATAGAAGTCCGGAGTTCACCAAGCATATTAGAAGCATGTTTCAGAGCATCCATAAGCTTGTTTTTGTCCTACAGAAATAACAAGATAATAGATCAGAATCCTTAATTTAAATAAACATTTATTTTGGTTGTATAAACTCTTTACATCAAGGACTTGATACATAGTTTTAAAAGTATAAATCCCTTAAATTATTTTAACCACATTAAAAAAAAAATCAACTTTAGTTTCACCTTGCTTTCCCTTTACAAAAAAGAAAAAGATGCAAGATTCCTCACCAGGGCTATAGAGCTTGGCAAGACTTACATATCTAGCACCATTAGCTTCCTGATATAACACTAATCTTTCAGCCTCTAGAGACTAGGAAACTAGCTCCATTAATTCACATTTTACCTGCAATCAAAAGAGCTGGCATACCAATTCTTTTGAAGCCAAGACACTATCCTGACAATGGCTTTGTCACAGGTTAAAGACCCTTCAGAGCTGTGTGAAGTGACTACCATGTAAGTTTGCTGTCTCCTGTGTTCTTCAAACCCTCCCAATGTCCACATGCTCCACTAAACTCATAAATGAAGACAGTTACTTGAGATATAGGAAACACTATCCATACACAGAAAGAAAAAGATGCAAAGAATAGCAAATCCATTTTCTCCATTCCAAGACATTTATTTTTCATTCCAAATTTGTTTGCAAGGAACCCATACAAGATACAAGAGCATATTATTAACACTAAGCTTTAGAAACTGTAAGACACTTTACTAAGTATCATCATCATAATCATCATCATCACAGCAACTTATGCTTGAAGTACCAACCTATTCTGTTCAATTCCTTAAATTTTAATCCACAGGATCTACAGTATCTGCCTAGATTATCCCCTAGCCTATCTTTTAGAATATGAAAATATATAAATAGGTATTAAGTATAATTTTTAAGCTAGCTTCTGCAATAAACATATCTATTCACACTAAAAATTCAAGTTTTCAAGATATTCAAGGGGAAAAAAGCTGAATAATTTAAACTGAAAGTATTTAAATACATTCATTTAACACGTATCTATTGGGTATCAGTTTATGTTAAATACACCTTGCGTTTGAAGTATAGAACCAAAGAGTCTAGTAATTCAGGTCAGATATTGGCGTGGTGACAATACAGTAACATGTAAATAAAAGGCAGGGTCTCTTGTTCTCATGAGCTTACATTCTAAAAGAGAAGACAGAAAATCCCAAACAATAAATATCAATATGAGTAAACAGGGCTCTCTGTTGACACTGCCCCACGGAGTGGCTGAGAGACATGGGACTCAAGACAGATGCTGGTGGACACTGAAGATTAGAATTACCAGAAGCAGTGGTGCTAACTTTAGAAAACACGGCAGATGCTTTCTTAGGAACATAAACTGCACCTGTGCCTCCCATATTTTCATTCTTACCAGGCATCTCTTCATCTGGAATGACTGGACCTTCACAGCCTGTATAGCTTCATCCAAGAGCTTTTCCTGCTCATCCTGAGGCGACTGCTGTGTTGTAGGCTGAAAAAAAAAATCCATTAATGTCTTATAAGCACATTCTTCTAGCAAATCTGTTATTTCTACAGATCTAGCCACAGTCCTCTCCAAGACTTTCACAAAGGCTCATTCCAGCTCTGTATCTCAAACCCATTTATCAGTTTTTTTTATTTTTTTATTTTTTTATTTTTTTGAGGCAGAGTTTTACTCTGTTGCCCGGGCTAGAGTGCCGTGGTGTCAGCCTAGCTCACAGCAACCTCCAACTCCCAGGCTCAAGTGATCCTCCTGCCTCACTCTCCTGAGTAGCTAGGACTACAGGCATGCACCACCACACCAGCTAATTTTTTCTATTTTTTCAGTAGAGACGGGGTCTCGCTCTTGCTCAGGCTGGTCTCTAACTCCTGAGCTCAAGCAATCCTTCCACCTTGGCCTCCCAGAGTGCTGGGATTGCAGGTGTGAGCCACCACACCCAGCCAAAAGGCTAAAAAATTTAACACTTACGGTATATTGCTAACTACATCATTTTATTGTTGAATGTTTTGTTTTCAAATGGAATGTAAGCTTTTGAGGGAAGAGACAATGTATTTCCTACCTTACTTTTCTTTATCTCCTAGGATGGGAAACTTAGCTTTCAAAATCTTTTATTCATCAATAAATGTTCAAAATGAAGAATCAAATCATAATAAAGCAAATAACCTTATCGATTTCTCTATACTATTAAATTTTTATCTTTTCCGTACTATTTAAAAAGGAATTGATGCAGATATACTAAAAACCACTGAATTTTATACCTTAGAAATAAAATAAATGCCAGCCTGAGCAAGAGCAAGACCCCATTTCTACTAAAAAAATAGAAAGAAATTAGCTGGATAACTAAAAATATATATAAAAAAAATTAGCCAGGCATGGTGGCACATGCCTGTAGTCCCAGCTACTCAGGAGGCTGAGGCAGCAGGATTGCTCAAGCTCAGGAGTTTGAGGTTGCTGTGAGCTAGGCTGACGCCATGGTACTCTAGCCTGTGGGCAACAGAGTGAGACTCAGTCTCAAAAAAATAAATAAATGAATGAATGAATGAACAAAGAAACTTTTTTTTTCAGTGCATTTTATTATTTTTTTTATTTCAGGGTATTGTGAGGGCACAAATATTATGGTTACGCTTTATGTCTTTGCCTCACCCAAGCGAGGGTTAAAGGCATGCCCTTCCCCCCCTATAATGCTCCCCGTGTCCTTCGGTAGCGGGTTTACCCCCCCAGTCCCCTAATCCCTGGAGAGTATTACTGCCATGTGAGCACCCTAGTGTTGATCAGTTAGTACCAATTTGATGGCGAGTACAAGTGGAGCCCATTCTTCCGACCTTGTGGTGCCTCACTTTGGATAATGGGCTTAAGTTTAATCCAGGAAAGTATAAGAGGTGCTAGATCACTGTCGTTTCTTATGATTGAGTAATATTCCATTGTATACATATACCAAATTTTAATAATCCACTCATGGATTGACGGGCACTTGGGTTGTTTCCACATCCTTCCAATAGTGAATTGTGCTGCCATAAACCTTCGGGTGCAGATGCCTTTATCATAGAATGTTTTGTGCTCTTATAGGTAGATGCCTAATAGTGCTATTGCTGGATTGAATGGTATTTCTATTTTTAGCTCTCTGAGGTATCTCCAAATTCTTTTCCACAGAGGTTGCACTAATTTGCAGTCCCAC